TAACTATGCTATCAATATAATTATCATGTAATGTATACTTTAAAACAATAAAATATAATCATGAATAACACAAACGGCAATATCCCTGGATATGGGGGTACCTTTTTAGTACTATAAAAAGTACTGATATCCATTGAAAAACCCAGAGAGACAGAGCCACGGCTACGGCTAAGGCCAGAGCCACAGCTCCAGTAAGCTAGTTCTTTCCTGCGAACTACTCTTGCTATTACATTTTGATCACGGCCCCGTGCTGCCGTTTGAGTTATTTTATTTTGTTCACTTTATTTATGTTTAAAACTTATTTTGATCTATAAAGACATTATTACCATAAACAAATAACATTGAGTAAAAATTGGCATTTCTGGTAAATACTTCATTTATCTTCTTGGACATTACAAAATACGAAGGTAAGTCAATTTATATTATTCCATTTATTTANATTTGTATTTTTGAATTATAACAATACTATCTACAGATTTGCATCGAAGCGTTTCTTATGATAGTGATTTTAATCACTGTCAGATTAAATCTATACTGGACCCTACTATGCAATGTCTCCACTATGCCGCGACCCCACTGTGCTACCGTTTTTTTATTTTTTAATTTAAAAATAAATTTATCAATCATCATTTATTAAATATTAGATATTAATTTTGAAATGTTTATTAAATATATCCATGTTATGTGGGTAGTAGTGGTGGATAAATTCCCAGACACAATTTTAGACTTAGGACGACAGCAGAGACTAAACATTATATATATGTAGTGTATTAAGTACAGCCTAGCTGTTAATCCAAACAGAGCAGAGGTAGTAATGTTTACCAAGAGAAAAACAGGACTTGGCAATATTGGTAGACATAGCCTGAATAGAAAAGAAATTGGCTTTAGGTCAGAGGTGAAATACTTAGGTATTATCCTAGACAGTAAGGTAAGATAGAAATCACATATTGAGGCAAGAGTAAAAAAAGCCATTGCTACATTGTAAACATGCAGCATAACCTGGGTATTTCTTAGGGTCTTATACCAAGAGTTATGTATTAGTTATACACTTCAGTGATTAAACCTATGATTCTATATGGTGCCTTGGTCTGGTGAACCAGAACGACATTTATTAAAGCCCAAAATATTAATATTAAAATTTGTAAATGTCGATATTTTTAAAACTTTTTTTACTTTAAATCTTTTTGGAACATACATATATGTATTCATCAATCATAGTACTTTTTTTTTAACAATAATTGTTTCCCTTTAATAAGACATACAAAGTGATTTTTTTATTATAACCTACTTAATTTTCTTATAAAATAAAAATATTATAAACATTTTTTTTAGATATTAATTACATATTATTCTTGAATCCTTAAGTATGTGATACTTTCAAATTTCATTCCTAATATCTTTTAAGAATGTCAATTTTATTTTTCCAAATAGAAAAACATATTTTGAATTTAATAAAATGTAAGAGGTTTTATTTTAATAGTAAATGGCGATTAAATTTTTAAAATGAAAATAACTTGCTTAACTAATTGTTTAGAAACAATAGTTGAAAACTGTTGCCTCAAATATAGAAAATCAGCTGAACAAACACTTATCATATAGATAAATGACTATTTATCATTAGGATTATAGTTGATAAGTTTTGTTGGGGATAAATGAATACATTATACTGTTTTTATTTAGTTCTTTATGCTTCTATTCCTTTTAGGAAACTGTAGATACTCATATAGCACTTTTTATTGTTAAAGGTTTAATAATGTTGAAAAATATTTATTTATAGTTAAAACAGAATGTAACATTCTATCAAAATAAATTCATCATTATTCCAAAAAATAGTATATTTTTAATATTGATACATTTAAAATTATATTTTGAGTGTTCAATAAATTTTAAAAATATCATAAATTAACCTATTAATTTGACATTAAAAATTTGAAAACTTATGTTATTTTAACGTTGTTTAAATAGTTCTATGCTATGTAGGTCATCTATTCAATAATTTTCTTTAATTCATTAAAAAACACAATATGATTTTTTAGAAAGAGATTAAATCACTTCTGAGATTGAGATTAAATATTGTTTTCATATTACTTATTTATAAAAAGAAGTGTCTTATAAAATGTAATATAACATTATTGATCATAGACGAGTGATGTTCTAAGTTCACAACATTGTGGGAATGGTTAACAGAAAATTCATCTAGATATTTGGTAGTAAAATTATCTAGGAAAAAGATAAAATAATTAGTTTTTATCTAAATAAAATGAACACTATTAAAGTTACAGAACGAAAAAGTCAGAAAATTGTATGCATTTTTATTTACTACAAGATTTTATGAATATTATGTTATCACTTATAATATTAACAGAAGTATGATGTTACAATTTATAAATGTGCATTACGCATTATGTATACGTATGTATATAAGATCGCCAAAATAGGTTTCATTTTTTATAACATAAAATAACCGGTTTCAATAGGACAGAGTCTGATTATTGTGCATATTTAAAAAAATGTCTACACGCTGAATAAACGCCAATAAAATATACCAATTAGAGTTAATGTTCTTGACTTCCAAGATTACGCTAATGATTACTAGACTACTTTTTAGATTATAAAAAGTCATTCATTTCTATAAAAACTAGTTATTTTTGTAATTTCTAAATACACTAAATCTGCAACACTCTACTTAACATTTTTACTCTATGGAACTTTGTCATTTTTTCAATTTTTTTTTGGTAAATCATTTTATTTGAATTTATTAGATTATAGTTCATTAGATAATAGTATATAAATTTTATTATTATGAAAATAAATGTCATCTATTAATATTCAAACATCAAAATTTTGTAAATTATTCTATTTTGATAACAACCTAATGCAACTTATTCAATTTAAAAATTTATTGTGAATTTTCCTATTAGGTAGCTGTTATCTGTAAGCTATATGTTAAATATTTGCTATTTTCGTATTCTAAGGAATATTACGGCGAGAGATAAAAGTAAAGGTTTCAACTAAATATTATATTAGGTTAGGATGTCTTGTGCCTATATGTATTGGGTACCTAGTTATGCACTATATCTAAAATTTAATTTAATTTATTTTGAATTGGGAATATTACATCGGCAAACAAAGCATAGAAAATTACGGAGATAATTTAAGTGTTGAATTTTTGTCCTAGTTGTAACGCATCTTTTCAAGACACTACCTAAGAACACGTTAGGCCATCACAATACCGCTCTAATAAATTTCTAAGTGGATATAAATATTTTGAATATTTATATCTGTTGACGCGTATCCAATATACGGTGAACACCACACAAAAATATAGATATTTATTTATATAGATTTGTATAGAAAGTTTAACAACACAATAGTTACAGCGGTAGTATGGGAAAATATGAAATATAGTCTATAAATCTATATATATACCGCCCTGATAAATTTCTAAATGGATATAAATATTTTTAATATTTATATCTGTACTTATTTTGTACAGGCTAAAGAAAGCTTTAAAAATTATGGTTTCCGATCTTTCAATAAAATATACTTTCACAAATAAAATAATACTTATTTAACAAAGTTTAACATTTTTCTAGTTTTAGTTTAATAACTAAAACTAATATAATAAATATAGTTTAAAAAAACTAAAACAACACGCTTTTAAAGCACATCGAACTAAAAAGTTTAAAATAATTTTTAAATAAGCATAAAACAATAATGAACGAAAAGTACTAGTATTATTGTGAAAATAGCGTCAGGCGCTCAATATACAAAAAATATGGCATAAAGCACCCACGCTTTTTTTCACAATAATACTAGTACTTTTCGTTCATTATTGTTTTAAGCTTATTTTAAAAATTATTTTGAACTTTTTAGTTCGATGTGCTTTAAAAGCGTGTTTTTTTAAACTATATTTATTTTTCACTTTTTAGTTTCATGTTATGATAGTAGTTAATATCAATATCATGGTTGTAACGAGTAACGGGAAATAAGGGTTCGATTCCGGAGAGGGAGTCTAAGAAACGGCTACCACATCCAAGGAAAGCAGCAGGTGCGCAACGAGGAGGTAGTGACGAAAAATGACGATACGAGAATCATCCCCCAATGAATACACTACATATCTCTTAATGAGAATAAAGTGTATTAATAAATAAGTTTTAATAGTAATTAGAATATATATATATATATATGTAAAACGACTTAAGTACGTAAACGTATCATGTACGAGGTATAGCAGTGTTTTGTGGATGAGCGTGGCGGGGGGAACGTTATACACGAGGTATATACGGCGGCAGCAGCGTCGGCTATAGGGATATATAAATGAATATTAACATATTCGTACATATAAATATTAATATATATATATTAGGGTGTCCCTTATTTTGAAAATTTTGAAAATTCTTCGGGCTCACCCCCCAAATTTGTGTGTATACATATAAAAAGTGGCTACAAAAAATTTCAGGCCGATCAGATAAGTTTAACCCGTGCCGACTTGGGGTTGAAAATCGGCCAAAAGGGGTACTTTTTTAGTTTTTAGCAATTAACTCGTAAATTAGCACTCTCACAAAAAAAAATATTAAAACTAAATTGTAGATCTAATTGTTTTGTATAAATTAAGTCCTTACAGTTTTTCTTTTAAATCCATTAGTTTTCTAGAAAAATGTCAAAATACATAATATTTCGTAAAATTGCCGAAATTAGCATATTTACGAATATTTTATCATATATGACGAACCATATGTGATACGACCTAATGTTTCATACAAAAATTGTTTAAAATTAAATTTTACGAAATAAAAGTATTAAGTACAAATTTCATTGAACCGATCGTTTTATTGCTATAGCTGAATTAACTCGATCATATTACGATTTTTACTAAATATATGAATTTTATTGCTTAATTTAAATATATTTCCTTTATATTGTAAAGTGATGTATTTGTTTGACTTAAACTCATAATGATACTTTCTTCTCAATATTATTGTATAAATAAAAAAAAAGTTACTATATAAAATACAAAATGTTAAATTCAAAATAATTCACAAATTATAACAAAAATATACATTAAAAACTATGTTTTAATGTTTTTTTGTTGCAATTAGGATATAATATTCTATGCTCTTGAACACACAGTGTAAAAGTAACTCAGCTTTTTCATCGTTTACAGTTAAACTTTCATGAAAATCTTCCATTACCTTAACCGCTTTATCTGCAGAGTCATTTACTACTTTAAGTGAACAAACAATTTCTTTTTCGTGTAAATAAAAATTATCAGTATTCCAATTACTTGGATCCAAATTTAAAAAATTAGTATTGATATCGAATCGTTTGAAAAATTTCATACTGCTTTTTGACAAAAAAGAAGCTACAGTTTTTCCTAAAAAAAAATATCAATCACTGAATAGTCATCAAAAAATAAAGATATCAAAAATTATTATACCTGAAAATGATTTGTCAATATGACTCGATGAAAGAATAAAACGTTTACTAGGGTTTATTATTGACTCATTATTAAGGGATACAACCATTAATTTTTTTATTTCGGTTGAAATGGAATCGTCCATTTCCCAGAAAATATTACACTCGCGAATAGTCAATACTGCTTTTGCTCTTATAGTAAGATTAACAATTCTTAGGTTATAAAAAAAAACTTTTAGAACTTGTCCAATGGATGGAAGTTTTGAACCTAAAATTTGAGTAGTCAAAGACCCTATTAAAAATATTTTATTGTCATTTCTTAATACTACGGACATTTTTACGTACACTAAAAGAAAAACACAATAGGAAGCAGTTCAACTTAATACGCGATGTGAGCGACTAAAGTGGTATAAGTATAAGTTCACTATATCTATTGCTGCGATTTGTAATAAATTTACGATTTCCAGAGTTATTTATAATTTAAAAATAATAACAATACATTAATTCAGTCATACCATAGTATTATCGCCGTACTTGTACGATAAGTGTTGTAATGAACCAGATGATAACTAACAGAATCTAGCATTAAAATTCATATATTTAGTAAAAATCGTAATATGATCGAGTTAATTCAGCTATAGCAATAAAACGATCGGTTCAATGAAATTTGTACTTAATACTTTTATTTCGTAAAATTTAATTTTAAACAATTTTTGTATGAAACATTAGGTCGTATCACATATGGTTCGTCATATATGATAAAATATTCGTAAATATGCTAATTTCGGCAATTTTACGAAATATTATGTATTTTGACATTTTTCTAGAAAACTAATGGATTTAAAAGAAAAACTGTAAGGACTTAATTTATACAAAACAATTAGATCTACAATTTAGTTTTAATATTTTTTTTTGTGAGAGTGCTAATTTACGAGTTAATTGCTAAAAACTAAAAAAGTACCCCTTTTGGCCGATTTTCAACCCCAAGTCGGCACGGGTTAAACTTATCTGATCGGCCTGAAATTTTTTGTAGCCACTTTTTATATGTATACACACAAATTTGGGGGGTGAGCCCGAAGAATTTTCAAAATTTTCAAAATAAGGGACACCCTAATATATATATATATATATATTAATATTAGCGGCGATGGTAAGAATATACAATCTTCGCATAATATCAAATTTTTATTTAAATAAATAGTTAAATTAATGCAGTTGCAATGAGTGTGACAACTAGTTAGGTCTGTTATTTGACAAAAATTATAATATCAAGAAAATGAAACTCAAATTATGTCTCTAAAAGAGAGGTTAAAATAATAATTTAGTGGAAACAGTAATTTGTTAATATATTGTATATTACAGAATTAATTTTCTGGAATATTTTAATACAGAAATAATTCTAAATATGATATTAAAGAAAAAGACTAATATTTTAATTTATTGATAGTATTTATTTTATTTTATATTTCAAGTGTAATTGTGAAAACATTTTATTGACAGAGCTAAAAATAACGATTTATTATTTTGACTTATGTTTCAGAAAATAGATCACGTATAATCAGATAACGTCAGCTGAACAATTACGTGTTGTATGATAATTACGTATATTTAAATGAAATTTTTTTCTAAAAAAGCAATTAATAAAATTTGTTGTAAGAAATTCATATAAATAAAATTTAATATTCTTTTTACAACTAGTATAGATTTTTTTTTAAGTTAACTCATTAAAGAATCAACATAACATAATCGAGTGGCAAAATGAATTTTTTTTTACTTTTGATGTCAATGATGCCTTTAAAAGTAGTCTTAAGTGATAACGCAAAAAATTTATTCTGTTTCCATACTCAGTATTTTCTAAACTTTTTTAACCATAATGAAAGATTTTTGTTAGAGATCGAAAAAAATGAAGATTATATCACAATTGAAAATCTTACTAACTATGGCATGGCACTTCAAACACACAGTAAAGTAATTAAGTTATTCTTGGGTGACTTGAAAAACAGTTATAAAAACATTTTTCCTTGTAGTTTGATCACGGTAAATATGTACTTAAATAACATTTCTGGTTCTTTAAATATGATTGCTCTAAACAATGATGGTGAAAAAAATGATGCCATAAAATTATTAGAAGGCTACAAGATTATACATCTTGCAGTTAAAGAACAACTAACAAATTACATATATGGATATTGTAAAAATGTACAGTTTGATGATGATTTGGTTAGTTGCAGTCCTCCAATAGTTAATAACAATTATACTACTGTTAATCTAGTAAATATAAATAATGATCTAAAACATACAATTTTAATGAAGTTTAATTACAAAAATAAAAAGAATTCATACAAAAATTTTCATCCAAAAATTTTTTTGTTTTACGATATGATGACCCAACAGATTCTCTACAACAAAAATAATACTATAAAAATAGATGATAGTCAACACATAGAATTAAATCAACTTCGTTTCACTCCACTTAACATCAGATGCACTGACGGTACTCGTTTAACTATACAAGATGTATTTCAGTATATGATATATGATTTTAATTCTAAGGATGTTCAAGCATATATAAAGATAGTACTTGTGGCTACATTTCGACCTCTAGCTATTCTTATTCGCAACTTTTTAACCTTAATTCAAGTTGCGTCTTCAGAAAATTCAGATAATGTAAAGTTTTGGTTAAAATATAATTTTATTCAAATGGGTAAGAAAATAATGCAATATTTATTAAAATATATTTCTCTCCCCATGTTAATGTATAAACGGACATTTTTACAAGACAACGTCTTAAATGAATTTTTTATTGTTTTAAGCAATTATGCTAAAAATAAAAAATTGTCCGACTTAGATAATAAAACTAATGAAACATTAATTAAAACACTATCGAATTTCTTCATGAAAAACAGTATATACTTTACAAATCATATAGAATTAACCAATAAAAAGATTACTGAAAGCAATGCTGATCAAATTAAAATTCAATTAGAACATATCATAAAAAAATTGGATATCTACATGAAAGATTTGACAAAATGGGGAAAAATTTTTAATTTTATTGTAAACACATTTAGAATGCGGACTTTCAATGTTCCACATTTGAAAAAATTTATTGATTTTAAAATTTTAGGTAAATGAAATTTAATTTTTGTTTAATACTATATATTATTTATATACAACATAATCTGCTTTGTGTTAAATAAAAAATAACCGAGTACCTGTGGCGTCGTGGAACTTATATTACAGAGTACAATTAAATAATTTAATATAATTGAAACAGAGAGGTTTGTCAATTGAAAAATTCAATTCCAGGCTTCAATTATTGCGAATTAATTTATTAAGTTTTTTTAAAAGATTCTTATTTTAATAATTCTAAAACTTACATAGGATATTCTTTAATTTTTGTCTTTATCATAAATATATGATAATTACAATTGCAAAATTGAAGAGGTAATGTTCAAAATAAAACTTGAATTACATAATTTGTAATTTCTATTTTTATTAATATATTTCGGTGTTTTAAATATAGATAATAAAAAATTGTTTTGAATTTTATTATAACATTCTTTCTACAAAATGGACTTGAATTAGAGAGTAGATTTTTATTTCTAATAAGTATATTAGTATAAATTAAATAAATATGCTTTATTTATTAAATATCTGGAATGGGTTGAAATTGTTCCTAATTTTTTTTGATGGGACTTATGAAAAATACATTTATTTAATTTTTATAAGTTTTAACTATTTATTTTTCTCTAACACTATTAACTTATCCACAAATTAAATAGTTGTAAAGCTAAATTAATAACTGTGCAAAAAATATAAAAAATTCTATTATCATTACAACTGAAACAATTATTTTCAATTTGTAACTTTTTAAAACTTTGTTTTATTTATTTTAGATCGTATTTGTAATACTGAAGCACATTCTGAAATATACAGTTTTATTACGAAAAATACTAATAAACCTGATTTAGATTATTATAAAGATNGATAGTAATAAACCTGATTTAGATTATTATAAAGATGTAGAATATGTGGATGATAATATTACAGAATTTAGCTTAGAGAATCTGAAACTTGACCAAAATGAAATTAATATCGATACAAATGACTTCACTGTAAATCAATCAACTTATAATCCTCATTATATGATTGATTATTTGCCGTACGACGTATAACGTGAGATATTTAAAATATTTTTGAATTATGAATACTTAAAATCATTATTACTTATTTAAAAAAATTTTATTTTTTCCATTTTACGTTTGATATTTTTTATTGGTTAAACAAAAAAATTTATTAGTACAATATACTATTTATCAAGCAAACAAATATTCTGTTGTCCTAGTAACAATAATATATTAAACAATAAAAAAATTGTCAATTGTATTTCTTTTCAGTGTATGGCATTAATTTTACAAATTACATTCTTGTGTTCAAACTTTTAATATAGCCCAATGAAAATAACTGTACTTTTAAACATAATGGTAAATTATTTTGCTTGAGTATACAGTTTTTTTAATACTTAAACTAAGTATCGTAAAATGGTAAAAAATGTCTTTAGTAATTTAGTAACTTCTACCTTGACATGATCAAATCTCTAGTTTAAAAATGAAATTATTTGCTCAATATATTGCGAACAACATTGGGTATATTTTCAATAAAAAATTTTTTATTAATATTTATTCTATGCATTATTATATATATATATATATATATATATATATATATACTATATATATAAGAACCCTACCTACTACCTTGATATGACCAAGTCTCTAGTTTAAAAACGAAATTATTTACTCAATATATTATGATCAAAATTTTGCTAGTTGAAACCAAAATGGTGTGTTTTAGCTGGTGCTTCAAGTACTCATACTGCGTGTGTATGTGTTTACCATCAAAATGTTAAACTTATGATTGACGGAGCTTCATTAAAATACGATTTTGTACACTTGCTTAAATCAATAGTTTATGATATGAATAATTATTTTTGTATGATGAGTATATGTTCCTATTGTCCGAATAACTACGAATACATAAAAGAAACTATTTCAAAAGAGCTTGATGACGGGCCAGAAAACATTGTTTTTAAACAATAGAACAGTACTGATCAGACAGTATTAGTAACAAATATAGAATGTACAGACAATTTTATTGAAACTTTAATTAATAAAATTATTAAACTAAAAAAGCACCATTTTATTTCTAAGATCTAATCAAATTTTTTAAAACTAAAAAAGAAACATTAGAATTCAATGGGTGTATTGCTTTAGCAGATTTTTCAAAAAATTATAATTTTGTAGTACAGAACGAAATTCAAAGCTTCCACTGGATTAATAAACAAACCACTCTTCATCCCTTTGTTTATTATTATAAAATAGAAAATATAATTAAGTGTCAATATATATTAGAGTGGTCCTTAGTTATAGATTATGAAAAATTTCTTTTAGAAATTCCTTGGTCTCACTACTCAAATTTGTTTATATACGTGTAAAAACGAACAAAAAAAATTTCACGTCAATCAGACAAGTTTAACTCGTGCCTACTCGGCGTTGAAAATTGAACAATAAGGGTAGTTATCTAGTGTTTTGTACTTAATTTGATAACGAGCGATCAAAGAAAAAAAAATAATAGAATATAAATTGTTGACAATATTAGGTGCTATAAGTTTAGATCTTACCCTTTTTTTTTAAACCCAATTGTTTTCGAGCAAAATTTAAAATTATACTATATTTTATCGATTTGCCGAAATTGGAATATTTACGAATACTACATTATATTTGACAAATATTTAGGGATACCACTTTTTCTCAGCTCTCACCAAACTGATTTCTTTAAATG